TTGTGAAACACGTTTTTTAGATTCCTACAAATCAAGACAAATATGCCAATCTTTCACAAAAATACGGGTTATATTAAGCCAGCCGATAACAAAATTTGGCCGAATTTGGCATTTTTGTGTGGAAAAATCCCTTAAATACGAAATTACACGAAGAACATAGAACACTAAGCCGGGGTATTTGAAACCGAAATTGTCATCTAACTGTAAGGCCGTCGCTGATTGGCTGCTGAGCTGGAATGACAATTTTTGATTTTAAATACCCTAGGAAAGTGTTCTAGGTTCTTGGTGTAATAGGCATACGGATTTTTCCACACAAAAACGCTGAATTCAGCTGAATTTTGTTATCAGTTGGCCTAATATAACCCCAACGGATTGTATTTTTGTGAAAGATTGGTATTTTTGTCTACATTTGTAGGAATCTGAAAAACGCGTTTTACAACTTATCTCTAATTTAGTTTTATGCTGCATTCAAGATGGCGACCCCCATATAGTAAATATCGTATTCATTTTAATATCACGTGTGTGCCAGCTGACTGTGGTACAATGCAACAGAAGGGATGCAGCTTCTATTAGGAGAAATTACTCATATGAGTAATGATGAATTTTTGGGTCTCAATTATTAAAAAAAAAAACAGATGCGACTTTTATTAAGGATGCAGCTTCTAATACAGATTTTACGGTACTTGTTACTTTGTGTGTGAATAAGCACATCTGTTTTTTAGAATGTGTTTGACAATTACCTGCATATTAATCCTTTAAATATGAATGTTTTATTTGTTGACTTTAGTATTTTGACTACGTGACTAGTTAGCAAGTTTATTGCTTTATTTCCTTCTATGCCCTGGTACTCCTTACAGACATATTGCTACACAACTGTGTTTTATGCGCAACATTATCAAAAGTTTACATTTCAGTTTTTCAATTTTCTTCAGAGAATATAGAGAAGAATATTTTTACATGCTTTCTATTACACCGATAGCTCAATACATCTGTAATTTTTCAATCCCGATCGTTTTTATCTCATCATCTCCACCATATTACACCAAAACCTAAAAATAGTCCCTGCAAAATGACCTTCAAGACTCCACCTTGGACTTCTCAATAAACCAGCTGACACAGTCATGATAGATAAGCGTGGTCATCATTCTCAGCTGTTGCCACGAGTCTGTCGCAATGATCATTGCACTTCACCCGGTTACCTATATTGTAACAGTATTTAATATCTATTTATTTTCAAGTATATTGCTTCAAGTAATTGCTAATCTTGATAAACAATTAAAACCACTGTTTGTTATCTTTTATACGTTGGTATACATAGATGTGCCAAGATATTTAATATAATTTTTTAATTGTTTACTTCACTAACCGCATTGTGTCCTCATTGATGAACTACTGTGGGTTTGATGTTTTTAAATTCAGTCCATAATTTATTTTTACTGAAATGTTACTTGAAAACTATGGGGAAATGAATTATTTCATTTTCACTTTTTGCACTTGTGATTAGGATAAAATACTCTAAATCGTTTAATATTTGCCACCGTCATTGAATCGAAATCTTTACATACCGGATAGTTACTCACTATTTCATAAATGAAAATACCTAGAATTTTTATATTTTGCAATTTGTTGTACCTAAATTGACTTTGAAAGCTGTGGAAAAATGAAAATAAAATGGGGGTTGTATTCAGTGAATGGTGGCCATTTTGTCGTCAGAATGCTTTTACTGTAGTCCTTATGGTAGAGATATTATGCCGTGGATGATCATAAAAAATAAATATTTATTAGGCCCCACACTCATTGTCATACTTGATTGTGCTTTTTGTCAAAAATACAATAAAATATTTGACATTTCTGGTTTTTGTAAATCTTCATACATTAGCAAAATATTTTTTTAGAGCCATAAAAACGCCAATCTTAGGTTATATATTATATGACATCATGAAATACTATTCATATCGGCTGTCAGCAGGCGTTGTTAATACATCTAAGACTATCATGGAATCCCTGTATTTGTACATCATATTAATTTCTGGAACCTGCTTCATTGTCCAGTCCAATAACAATAATTAATTTATATTTTATGTTGTGTGTACCACATCTGGAATTCTGTTTTGCTGTCTAATTGTGAAAAGCATGAATTACCGAATTACCGATGCCTTCAGTAAAACATGCCCAAACCAACATAAGCAATATGTCTGCCACATGATGTAGCGTTCTAACTGGATTTCCAAATTTGATTATTGTTCTGTTTTCTTTACAGGTTAACTTATTGTTATCAGCAAGCAAATAAAGACAATAGAACAACACATAGCTTAGTTTGAGGGCTCTGACCATGAGTACAGTAACTAACTAACCAACCAACAAACCATGATGCATGATGGGTGCATGTTCTTCAAATATACTATTTACTCCAACTGTGAAATGTTCTCATCACATTTTACTTATTTATTTTCTTGTACTTGTTAATAGGGTGTGGTACACTACTGTAAAGATTCTTTCATTTTTTTTTTGGTCGCAAAAGCAACAAAAAAAAACCCACACATAGATCACCAACATTGTAATTTAGTCTGTAAATTACAGAAATTGTCTGGCATAGTGGTCTCTACAGAGCCTACTGGTAATAACATCAACACAAATACAGTGTTTTGTTCTCTTTGCCAAATTGTAAGCACCAGTAAACCTGAAGTTCAATAAAATCAGCTCTGCTTTCGGCGAAACATTGACTGCAAAGATGAAGACAGCTCTATAATGCAGTTCCCATCTTGCCATATTCTTCATCATAGATGCATGGATTTTAATAGTCAAGACATTAGTAGTTAAACATGGTCACATTCCAAATATGTAAAATGGCTTCATATATTACCAGTTTCATTTCATGTCAAAACTTCACAATTTACTTTTCCAAAGCACTATGAGTTAAAGTACAAAATATGTTTTCAAAAACCTGTTGTAGACATCACCTTGGAGAGTTGGCAAGTCAGACATGCAACTGTATTCATATTCAGTTTGGCAAATAAAGTATTATTAATTTTGATCACCAGAGGGGGCTGTTTAAAAGCCTTGCATATTCTGATACTCAGTTAGGATACTGGTGACTGAAGTAATCAAACCTGTTGATATTTAAGTATGTTTCTTGGAACATTATCATCTTTGGGGTGGGGTGGGGGGTTGGGGCAACAAAGAGAAATACTTGGTACCATGTTTGACACCTTTGTTAATCATTTTGAAATTTGCAAAAATTTACATATATCGACCAACATCAGTGGGTATCTGTACAGCTATTCAAAAAAATTGTGTTTTATTGTCTTTTCGCCAACGAAACTCATCGTTTTATGCAGCTGTTGAAATCGTACCAGTTTACCAGCACTGAGCAATAGAATCTAAAACTGGTGAGAAGATTTGAAGTACAAGCGCTTTCACTTTGTGTTTTAAAAGTCATTATTTGGTGTAGATAGGTGGATCAAAGCATGTATATATATATAAACATTTTTCAGGGAAATGCAATTATGTAATATATTGAATAAATTTGAGGGGAATTGAATTAGTAATAAAACAAACATTCTACATGGAAAGAGTTGTTTCTTTCAATTTATTAATGTACCTGGTTCACATGTGTTGAAAGTTGTAATTAAATGAAATACAAGTATTCTGCTCAGTGGTTTTTCTAGAAAAAATGAACGTGACAGATCAACCTGGAAACTCCATAACGGAAGGTTTCTGTGCCATTTTAATTGTGTATCTATCACCATTGGAATATTTTGGGGGTAATTTTAGTGTTGCTGGGAAGTTTTAATGGAAAAAATATATTTGAGAAAGAAAGTTCAATCAGTAAATCGGTAAGAAGGCGCCAGCCAAGAGTATCAGGGCGCTGCGCCCCTGTTCCCTGGTTTAGAAAAACCCCTGCTATAACCTTTCCACCACCCCCCCCAAGCTAAACATGCATGTATGTATCTGACCTTCAAGGTCAAACAAAGCACTGTACATTTAGAGGGTTTCTTCTCTCAGTCAATTTCCCATGATGATGATACATCACATATTTGCAAAGTGTGAAGGCAACTTTAATATATAGGCATGCAATACCATGTTGAAGAGTCTCTCTGAAACCAATGGTTGGATTGCTCGCATTAATTTAAATCTTATTTGAATACAGATGTAAATATCGCCTTGTTGGCCACAGTTAAAGAGTTTCCATTCTTTATAAGTACACGCAGTAAATTTGATTTAAAATATTTTGTTGTAATGTCTGAAAACCACATATACCGGTACTATAATTTGAAAATCTTACTTTTCATGAATCACATAAATCTATTAGTGACAATAATGCTGTATAAAAATTTGAACATGGCGTCATTTTAACTCTTTGACTGTCATATTTCTCTTTTGCTCATTTTTATGTCATTTTTTTTATAATTTTGAGGCAGATTTCAATCAAAACTTTTGAAAAAAAACAACTAGGCAGGTGTATCTTATGAAAGTTGGCACTCAAAGAATTAAACAGACAGGGACACTACATGTTCAAGATTAAAATATACGGTCTACAAAACAAAACCATTCTTTCCAATAAGTTACTTACAAATATGCTAAATGTTCACATGGATATGTTGCCATTAATTCCAGTTTTTTTCAACTTAGATTTGTGAATACGGCAATTTTTTTTTTTTTTAAATAGCAAAATATATTACTTAATCTGAGGTATATCAATTATCTGTGGATGGACAAGATAGATACAGCAATATCAGAAAATTTACATAAATGTAATCTGCATAATTATTAAGTCTTCTCCAATCATAATATTTACATGATCATAAAAATACATGGATGGATAATACTTCATAAATCTTGTATCAACTCAAGAATAAAAAAAAAAAGTCTAAATTTCGAAATGCTATGCATTTTAGTTGACTGTCACAAGCGCTGAATCTTTGCTTTTTGACGTCTTCTGCTGTAACGCCTTTTGCTTGAGTCGAGCATTGCGTTGAATTTGATGTGATAAGTGTAAGGGTGGCTGGATTTGGTCGAGTTTAGGAGATTTTGAAAACTTCATCACATTTCCGACCTTGTCTAGTATTGACCTAGAAAAGATAAAAACAGTGACAGCGGGTATTAAAATAAATTGCCTATTGATGATCTTAGACAAGCAGGGATTTTTGTTTTTTGGATGGCTACCACTAACACAATAGAGACAAATTTGTCATAATGTTCCTGTACTTACTGCACATATGCTGTCATATCACGAATGTAAATATCGTCATCCTCAATTTCAGTTTCAGGAAGATTTGCAGGATTCACCAACTGTTGAAACAAACTATATTCATTAAACCAAAGCAATCAGGTAAAACCTGTAGCACACAAACTATATTCATTAAACCAAAGCAATCAGGTAAAACCTGTAGCACACAAACTATATTCATTAAACCAAAGCAATCAGGTAAAACCTGTAGCACACAAACTCATGAACAACTGGTTATAACAAAAATCAACCTTTTCTG